TCACGGCAGGATAGAGCCGGGTTTAAGGCCGGGGACAATGCTTTCATTGCGAAATCGTAGAAAACCTGTTCACTCTTAGCCTACATTTGCCTTTTCAGATCAGTGAAGGCTGAAGACAAATCTTATCACAAGCACTTGGTGAATTCGACACTTGGGGTCGTAGTTCACAAGATCCAATTGCGGCATTGTGCGCAAATCAGTTGAACACTTTAGAATTGAGTTTCTTCTCCTCCAATTGTGGTCGCGTGCCAGCCCTCCACAGTTGGTAGAGGGCGGGCTGGCGCCCCGCCAAACCAGCCCCTGACACGCCCCGGTATTCGCAGCGAACAAGACTTCATGTCACTTCAGCTAGCTAAGAATGCTGGTTTTCGCGCTATGCCTCTACCTGGATCTCTCAAACTACTCAATATTCCGAAAAAGTGTGCGCGGCGTTTTCATCGCTTCTATCGTTTCAATCGCGCGATTTTGCTTTTATCATTTTTGCATCTACCCAAAATCCCCTGAAGACACATTATGGTGATCATTTAATGGGTAAAAGCGCTTCCCAAATAGTCCGCCTGCAACCTCAGAGGTTTTCCCACTTCCGCGACTCCACTTTTCGTAAGGAAGCTGCAGCTACCGTCAACAGCCAAAGGCAGGCCTTTCGTAGAAGGTGCTCATCTGCGGACGAAATATGTCAGCGGTCCGCCACTTTCAAGGCGGTAAGTTACACTTTATTAAATTCTGATTGGACATTTTTACCATCAAATTCGCATTGCACACGATCACGAAACTCCGCCACAGCCTTCTGGACGAGCGCCATCGAGAGATTCTGCCACGCGACCGTGATTCGGTGCCTGAGTTCAGCGAGGTCGTTGATTTCTCCGCCACTGTAGACCACCCTGTTGAGCTCCTCCCGAACCGGTAATTGAGGGGTTTAGGTCAGGTGACACACTTGGATATTCCGTCTTCTTCAGGTTCTCAACGCTCTTCGATTCCAAGTAGGCGAGAGTTTTTCCAACGCCCTTCGATTCCACGTGCTGGCACCCAATCCTGTAGCAGTACGAAGTTTGCAAGATGGTACAGGCGACGACATGAAGGCAGGATATTCTCCTCGAGTTGCTCGATGTAACCGCTCACCTTCAGTCCGGGGTCCACGAAGAAAATATTGGTCTTCCCATTCCAGGTACTTCCGGTCCATACCATCAACCCGCGCCTTGGCGACTGCAGAGAAGATGATATCCTGGACCGTAGCGACGTTGTCGGAGCTGCTCGATGTTGGAGGTCTTCCAGATCAAGAGTACTGGTCTCCAGGTAGCTATCCATGGGTGACTCCATACTAGAAGTTTCGCAGCTGTTTGGAGGTGACGTGAATTTCACAGGCCTTCTCCAGGGCTAATGCCGTTTGGACTCCAGAAATTTCGGCACCGAGCTCATTTTTAAATTGCCTAAGTCACCAAATCCGCTAAAAACTTGTATATAGGGGTAGTTTAACATCCTGATTATGACATTCACTCTTGTCGCTGGCGCTAATGGATGACACTACGATTATCTGCGCTCTGCTAAGGCTGAGCCCAGGAGGTAATCGTAGTGTCCTCTCTTGGCGCCAGCGACAAGAGTGAATGTCATATTCGTAATCAGGATGTTAAACTACCCCTATATACAAGTTTTTAGCGGATTTGGTGACTTAGGCAATTTAAAAATGAGCTCGGTGCCGAAATTTCTGGAGTCCAAACGGCATTAGCCCTCTCCAGCAGGCTGCGATTGGAG